TACTTCAGAGGATGCAGCATCTGGGATGAGAATGCCTGTTGGAAATGCTCATCCCATAGAGGAAAGGGATGGGTTCCCCCAGCTAGACCTCTGCCAGCCTCCCGCAGCATCCTCCCTTGTCCCAAAAGTTGTGTCCCTTTGTGCTGAAGGCACCACTTCTGTAGGGGAGCACTCCGAGTGCTCTGCAGATCTCAGTGCATCAGTCTTATGTGAGCTGAGATCTAGAAATTATCTGCTGATTATTATTATCAACATTTTTATTATTATGTTATTGTTATTTGACGTGCTCATGCTGCCGTAGTGCCCCACCATCAGCCTTGGGAGTTGTTTATGCAGTCGGATGTGCTGTACTGGTGTCGGGGAGTTGTGATCACTGGAGGGTGGCAGGGGCTGGAGGGAAGGCAGAAAGTCCCTGTGGTGCTGCTGTGCCCCCGGCCCCTTGCAGAGGCGGCTGTGAGAGCCCAACCACCCGGGACCACACGGCTGGAGCAGAACCCACTGCTGGGGTGTGCAGGGGGAGCAGGCGGAGAGCTCACACAGCCCCACAGCCAGCGAGTGCCTTTATTTACAGCACTTTAAGGCTTGGCTGCTTCTCCACATCATGGAAAAAAAATCCCACTCTTTGCTATGTCATAAGATCAGACACTTCTGGGCTGGTTTGTGACACTGAGAACTCACAGGAACGGGCATGGGACAGGGAGAAACAGCAGCCCTGAGGCCCCAGGTATCGAAAGCCACACATTTACCGAAATGCGGAAATTTGTCATTTGCCTGCAGACGCCTCCCTTCCTGCACTTGCCTGCCCTCCAGCCCTTCTGCTCAGCCCTGTGGCCTGCTCACCAAGATTCATGCACCATAAAACAGCCCTGCCACTGTGACTAAGTTGCAGGTTAATTCTGAAAGTAGAACCTAAAATCCCCGTTATAGCTAAAAGGGGTAAGGGAGGCCATGGGGCTGCTCCTGCCCATGTTCTTGCCTCTAAGGTACCAAAAGGCAGGGTGGGAGACCTTCACCTCCCACTGCTGATAGGTGGACTCGCAGAGCTGGTCGCTTGGGGTTGCTTGGGTTTTGTGGGAGACCTCAAACCCCAGGGGTGAGCCCAGCCAGAAGCCAGGTGCAGGTCATGGGGTTGGGGACTGTAATGGGGCTGGGGGCTGTGGAGGCTTTTGGGGCCAGTCCCAGGTTGTAGGTGACCTTGGGGAGCTGGTGCTGGGCTGGATCCAATGGGCGGATGGCATTCCAGGAGCCGCTGTGTGCCCTGGGGGAGTCGCCTTGGCAGCCTCATCCTTCTCCAGCACCAGTCTGTGGGCAGCGAGGAGATAAGGAGGTACAGACAGAACCCAGCCCTGAGCTGTAGACACTGTCCCTGGAGTTCCCTTCCTCTCCAGCTCCATCCACCCATGCTTGGCCACTCATGGTCCCCGCTTGCCCTTTGGTCGTGCTCCTGGCGTGAGAGAGACCAAGTCGCCTTCACAAAAGATCAGGGCTGAGGTTTGGCCACTTTCCAGGGCTGGGATGAATATATTTTGAAGATATAGGAACTACACACAGCAGCAGGAGCCACGGAGGGGTCAGGATGCAAAACTCGGGGCTGGCAACAGTGTGAAGGGTTTGCGTATGGTCTGCGGTACAGATCTGACTGCAGGAGAGGTGATAGTCATCTTGTAACACAGCCGTTGCCGGAGGAAAAACAGTAGCAGAGTCGAAGACAGGTCCCACGAACCTGTGCCAGCATTGCTCTGGCAGCACTGAGCATCTGCTGCAGGTCCTGGGGCGGTTTTAGGGTCATGGGCCAAATCCTGGCCCCCTTCTCCACAGCCACAAAGCAAAACCTCCTCCCCAGGAGCAGAGTCGAGATTTAAATACTCATTTCCTGCCTCTTGGTGATTTCCTTTGCTAGGTTGTATGGTTGAATTGCTTAATGTACTTGTAAAACAGGAAAAGAGGAAGAAAAATACAGTCCCCTCATGCTAAGCTGAAGCAGAGGTTGCAGCTGTGCCTCTGCACCGGTGCTCCACACCACTGGCATCCTTGGAGATGTCTCAGGTCCTGCTGGAAATCCCGATTAATCCATCCATAAACAGTTCCACTCCAGACTATTAAAAATATTTAGTTCTAGGAACGTAGATACTTTTGGTTTTTTCATAGCTGGAAAGTATTTTTTGGCAGAGGTTTCCATGCTGAGACCTTACAGGATAAGCTGTGCTGCGGATGGTCCCCACCTGCAGGATGTTTCAGGCTGCTTCTTCCCCTGGCCAAAGTTGTTCCAGCTGGAGCAACTCCCAACCTTCTCCTTTCACACACAGTGGATGCCAGGATTGTTTTCCAGCTCTCCAAAATGCGCCTGATACCAGAGGCCCGGGTGCCACATGCTGCTCTGGAAGCGACAGCAGAAGGTGCCTCTATATTTCAATGCTTTCAGCCACATTTTGCTTTTCACCCTGGCTTTGGCAGTGGAGCTTTTATCCCAAAGGACAATGGAGTGGTTAGGAGTAAAATTAGCTCTAGACACTATTTTAATTGCTCCTAGAGGTAGGAAGGTGCCTCACTCGTAGCCTCAGGGCAAGTATTTAGATTTGTCTGCTGATGCTGGTGAACCTCTTGCTCGCTTCAGCTGTTTCTGAGCTCAGTGCAGTGTCTCAAATCATCTTCCTTGAGAGGCCAAGGGGCTCTAAAGCCCTATCCCACTGGGCTTGGGGTGTGGGAGAGAGGTGAAGGTTCCCTGGATCTGTGCTGGGGACATTGCCCATGCTGTGGAGGTGACCAGCCCTGGGCTCTCTGTCCTTTGCCAGAGAGCAGGACACATGCAACAGAGGTGGTTTGGTTTGAGGGGTTTGGGGGTCCCTCCTGTAGGTGGTAACAGCATCTGCTTGCAGAAAGGCTAAGATCATCCAAACTGGGGTCTGTGTGCCCCCCCTGTGTCAGGATGGTTCCCACACACAGCCTTTGCTGTGTGGGATTCCTGTGATGCCTTCAGGCCTCCAGAGCCCCAACTGCTCATCCACCGCCCTCTCTCCCTCCACTCCCCCACTCCAAAACCCATCACAGGACGTGGGTACATTAAATAGCAGGAAGATGCACATCAGCATGAGGGGTGTGCAGGGGACAGGTTGGAGTCCCTGGGGGCCGTTTGCAGGCAGAGCTGTTGGGGCTCAGCAGCACCCCAAGGCACTCCACAATTTCAGGGTGAGCTGTGTGGACAAGGAGAACAAGCACTGTGAATCCTGACTGCCGGGTGCCTCCTCGCCACGTTTCCTGGGCCACGTTCAACGCCACGGCCGCTCGCGCCATAGAAGGGAAGATAAAGCCGTGGCTTCCCAGCAGCTCAGAGTTCTCCTGCTCTCTGGAACTGCGCCTCCCTCCAGCTTCAGAAGGGGGGCTGCAGGGGAGGCAGAGGCAGGGACGCCTGTTTGCTTTCTCTTGCTTTTTTTCCCAAGCCAGGCTCCCTAATCTGGCTGTATTTGGCCACGCTGCTGTGACAGTGGGGGAGCAGCTGGCACAGGGGGGTCTCCGGCTCCCCACAGGCAGCAAGCAGGGCTGGCTTTGGTAGGGACCAGTATTTTTGGGGTAGCTTTGCCAGGAGCTGGAGAGCAGCAATGTGTCTGCAGGTGGCTTTTCTCACCCATGGTGCATCTGTGCCTCTGCCCAGAATCCCGACCTGGTGATGGGCATCAGGGGCCAGACTCGCCCTGCGCCGGTGGAGCCGAGCTGTGAGAGCGGGCGAGCTTTGCTTCTATCTTTCAGCAACTGATAAAAATATATCCACTTCTTTTTTTTTTTTCTCTCCTCCCCTCCAAGTGACTAAATTAAACCCATGCAGGGCTGGAAGGCATCCCACGGAGCTGTGTTGCTGGAGGCAGCTCCCGGCTCTGGGTTATCTCAGCCCCGTGGGAGTGCGGGAGCGCGGGGCTGAGCGGCACATTCCTGCGCTCCTGAGGTCATTGCTTGGCCACCGCCAGCCCTCTCCTGCTGCCAGCCCTGCACAGGGTCTGCATCGCCTCTGATTTATGGTTATGTTTCATTTCTCACTCCTGCTCCAGCATGGGATGTGTCAAAGCCCAGCTGTGTGATGCACTGGCAAAGGGGTGTGTTTGGGGGACTGCAGGTTGCCAGAGACCCTGAGCATCCCAGGACAGGAGGAGGGTGGCAAGGCAGTGCCACAGCCGATGCCCTGCCAAGTGCTGCCTGCTCTCCCCACCCAATGTTTTGCTGCTGGAGTCTATTTTGCACCAGGACCATGTCAGGGGGGGTCGGGGGGGGAAGAGTTATGAACATCCCCCAGGTTTTCCAGCTGAATGCTGCACGGTGAAGTATCTGGGATACAGGGAAGTGGCATGAGCTTGAGGCTGACTGATGGGCAGCACTGCTGCTCAGGCACCCGTGTTTTAGCGGGATTGAAGAGTGCTCAGTGCAGGGTGTCCTCTGCCTGCAGACGCCCCCTTTGTCCCCCCCTGCTCCAGCCCCTTCTCTTTCTGCCAGAGACAGCTAAAAGCCCAGCAGCAGAGGGGATCGACTTCCCAGGAGCTCACAGCTTTGAAGACAGAGAATGGTGAGACAAAAAGTGTGTTTTACCCCTGCTGTGCTTTCTCAGTGTGATATTAAGCAGCCTGCACAGGGCTGGGGAGGATAGGGATGATGATGGCTGCAGGTGGTACAGGAGGGCAGACAGGGCATCCCAGAGAGAATGGCGTCCTAGAGCCAATGGCATCCCATCCTCTCAGACAGGTCACCCCCAGGACAGGAGGCCTAACAAGCTTTGTGTCCTCTCTGAGCCTGCCAGCACCACCCCAATTAGTGCTATTTGGACCAGTGGGATGGAGGGAGGTATTTGTCCAGTGGGAGGAGCACAGGGCTGGCCACCGTGCTGGCAGGTTGGCTGCCCAGGATGTCCAAGCAGCCTGGGTACAGGATGTGGCCAGTGCTGTTTCAGCCGTGTTTGTCTTGCAGCCAATGCCTCCCTGCTTTCTGAGGATGGGAAAAAGAAGGCAGTGCTGCCAGAGGAGTGGACAGAAAGTGCAAGATTCCTCCAAGGCCAGGAGGAGGAGGAGCAGCTGCAAGATGCTGGCTGGGCAGGCACCACAAGCATCATCCAGGACATTCACATCCAGGTTGGTCAGAAAGGCACGTGCTGCTGGGGGCAGCAGCTGGGGGCCAGCCAGGACTTCCCAGGCCATGATCACAGACCTGGCACATGCTGGGAGAAGGAAGGGGTTAGGAAAATGTTAGGAAGCCTGAAGTGGTGTGGCTCTGCATCCCTTAAGCTGGTGTTTGTCATCTCCCTGCTTCCCAGGTGGAAAAGGCAAAAGAGCTGGAGCTGAAGGAACAGTTTGATGCCCTGAGGAGAGAGCACACGGAGACCCTGCAAGGTGCATGTCAGGGCAGCAGGGCTCTTTGCAGCCCTCCTGTCCTCTCCTCCCGTACTGCCAGTGCCCCTCTGGCTACCTGCAGGGTTGCAGGAGTGCTGCTCCTCTGCTCCCCAGAATTGTGGGGCTCAGGTGGGGCTTGCTGCCCCAATGTCCCCAAACCAGTGACATTCAGCTCATGTCCCCCTTGCAGAGCTCCAGAGAGCACATGAGAAGGAGAAGCTGCTGCTGGCAGAGTCCCACCACAGGTCCCAGGCAGCCTTACAGGTACCTGCAGAGAAATCCCTGGGGAAGGGGTGCTTGTGGAGGGCTTGAGCACCAGCTGCTGGTTCAGCCATGGTGCCCCATGCTCCTCAGTGGCCATCCTGGTCCCTGGTGTGCCCAGAGTCCATGCCAGCTCCTCCAGCCCTGGAGTTATTTGGGTACCATAGCAGAGCAGTGCTCTGGCTCAGGAAGAAGTCCCAGATACCTCTCATCCTGATTTTTCCCTGGCTGCCCTAGGAGACAATTCAAGCACTGAATTCCCAGCTGAAATCCTTCCAGGAGAAGATGAAGCGGGTGGAAGAGTCACTCTTGAGCACAGACTACAAGAAGCACATCCAGGTGTGGGGAGGGGTGTCAGGGAGGGGGCCTGCTCTGGGGTGCTGACTCAAAGCCAGGGGAATTCTCTGATGGACCCTGGCAGGGGGGCTGGAACCAGGTGGGAGCACAGGACAGCTGAAGGGGGGAGCAAAGCCTGTCCTGGGGAGGTGCACATGCTGTTGAGGTCCCTTGAACACAAGTGATGGCTCTGCAGGAGTATGGGAGCCCCAGCCCCTTCTGGGAGCAGGAGCTGGAGAGCCTGCACTTCGTCATCGAGATGAAGAACGAGCACATCCATGGCCTGGATAAGAAGCTGCTGCACCTGGAGAACGTGGTGGGTTGAAAGTGGAGGTTGCAGGTGGGCTTTCCTCTTTTCAACTCTCCTCCCCACCTAAATTCTGCCCAGAAATTGCAGCTGGAGTGAAGGTGGATGGAGCCTGGTTCCTGTCTTGGAGTGGGGAGGGGATGTGGGTGCAATGCCACCAAGCCAATGTTCCCCACAAGGGCAGGGAAGGGACTGTTCAGAGGTGGTCCCTCCTCACCCTCATGCCCCTCTTCCAGGAAGAGAAGAACCTTCTGCTGGAGGAGAAGGTGAAAACTCTCCAGCAGGAGAACGAGGACCTGCAAGTTCGCACCCAGAACCACTTGGTCATGGCAAGGTAAGTGCTGGTCCCACGTGCCCAGCGGGCTCCCCACTGCACTGGTGGCACCTCCAGTGGGGGGACGGGTGGCAGTGGGGGAAACACCTCACAGCCTGTGGTGGCACCGGGTGCTTTGTGGGGAGCTGAGGGGCTGGCGGGCGCTTTTCCCAGCGGCTCTGGCAGCACGTGCCATCTGCCCACAGGCAGCTGTCTGAGGAGCTGCAGGCCGCCCGTGGGGCGCTGGAGAAGGAGGCACAGCTGCGGGATCAAGCTCACCGTGAGAAGGAGGAGCTGCTGTACCGTGTGCTCAACGGGGGGGACGGCACCCCCTTCCCCCTGGCTGCCGGCGAGGTGCCCCTCATCGCCACGTAGCACAGCACCCATAGCACTGCGCGCTGCCAGGGGGGCTGCTGGGGCTTTCCCCAGCTGTGTGAGCCCAGGGCTGCTCTCACAAGTGCCCCCCCAGCCGGGGCAAGGCTCCGGGCTGGCCGAGCCCTCGGGGTGCCCCGTCGGACCGGAGTAATGGAGCATTTCACAGGACACTTGCGCCTGCCTTTCCCCAGCCCGTGCGGGGCTGCAGAGGGACCCTGGCCACCCGCCCGTGCCATCCCTGCACCCCTTCCTCTGGTGGCAGTCTGTGGGGGGCTGTCTGGAGGTAAAAGGCGTCAGCCAGGACACATATGCTTGCATTGGGCCGATCTGACCCAGCGCTTGGCTCTGAGCATAACCAGCACCAGTGCTGCCCAGGGCGTGAGGCGAGGATGATGAGGTGCTCACTAGGATGGGGATGAGCACTTGGAGGATGAGGAGGGCACTGGGAACATGGCGTTAAGGTACCTCTGTAGGCAGGGCTCCCATCCCTGCCCTCCTCCTCCCATCACCTCCGTCACCTTCAGCAAATGTCTCCCAGGGGTTGCTCCTACAGCCCGTGTCTGTCCCTGCTCACTGCCACAAAGACCCCAAGCCCTCCTTGTCCCCGCTGCCCATCAGCAGCACCACCAACCCCATCTCCTGCCCCAAAGCTGGGCAGAGGCTGCGTGCCAGAGCTGCACATCGGGGAGCAGAGCATCCTCCCAAGGGACAGCAGGCTTCAGCAGGTCATATCCTGCTCCAAGCCAGTGCATCCCCAACAGGGAAGATGCTGCCAGCATGGCTGTGGGTCAGGGCCGGATGCACATAAGCACTTTCCACTGGGTGCACGAGTGTGGTGGGACAGTCACTGCTCCGGGGCTGTCACTGACCTGTCCCCTCCCCAGGGCTGTTTAGCCAGGGGTGTGCATGTGTGTGTGTGCACATGCGTGTGCGTGCGTGCGTGCACGTGTGTGTGTGTGTGTGTGTGTATGTGCACCAGGCCAATGTGCTACTGGCTGTAACAATTACAAGTTCGTAAGAAGCAGCAGCCTCAAGAATTCCGTGTCGGTGGTTTTGGTAACTGGTGCAGGAACATCCCAGAGTGGGGCTGTGTGCTCTGAACCCAGTGTGGTGGGAAGATGGGGAGGGTGGGAGCAGACCCCACAAAGACACGACAAGGGAGCCCCAGAGGAGATCCCTACAGCTGATCCCTCTTTTCCTGCTCCTTCCCTCTTTTCATTCATTTCAATGGGCTCCCCAGCACAGGGCAGACCCCGAACCTCCCAGCCCTGCCAAGGCAGCAGGGCCACTGCAACAGCCACTTCCGTCCTTTGTGCTGACCCTTATCAGGAAAAGAGCAGCTGAACGAGGCAGCCAGGAAGGCAACACGGATGTGGGGTCCAGTTCTTACCCACACACCTCCACGATGTGCCCAGAGGGGGAATAGGGGCGCCTGTTTTGTCAGAAACATGTCCCCCCCCAGGGCACCTACTGCTCCATGCATCATCCAAGCATCTCCTTGGCTCTGGGGATGGGTGGTGGGGCACCTTCTAGCTTTGCCCAGCAAGCTCAGGGATGCAGGGGGACATGCCAGGTGCTGTAGCACCAAAGCAGAAGATGCCACAGGAAATCCTGCCTGTCTGTACCTGAAGGGGACAGGATCTCTGGGAAAAGGAGATGAGGTTGGTGGGGTCTGGCATCCTGTTCTGGACACCTGGTACCATGTCCCACCACCCCAAAGGCAGATCCTGTGTGTGACCTGGAGAAATGTGCCTGGTTCTGGGAAAGGGGAGCACTGGGAAATGAGAAGGAGGAATAAATGCGTGCAGAGAATGACTTGCCCACGGTAAGGAGGAAAAAGCCTGGACCAGGAAGTACCTTGGCAGTCAAGGGGGGACAGGCAGGTCAGCCCTGCCTGACTCAGGGTGCCTGGGCAACATGAAGGGTCAGGGCACCACGAGAAGCCTTTGGTCCACTGTGAGCAGCTGAGGGACCAGAGTGGGCAAGGGGCCAGAGGGACAGTGGGGCCCTGCACAGAGAGATTTCAAAGGTAAAAAAAAGTGCACAACCCAATAACAGCAGCAAAAACATTTGTTTGCTTTATCCTCTCCAAACAGAACTCCTTCTGCCGAGGCTCACTGTAAGGATTTGAGTTGCTCAGGGAGGTTCACCAGACCAAGGGGAAGCAGCTCTTGCAGCTGTGGCGGGGCTGTCCCCCTCTGCAGGACAGGACCCTCAGCCCAAGGGGCCTCCTTGCCCCTGGGCACAGGATGGAGGGAGCCAGGCACTCAGGGATGAGCCATCTCCTTTTATTGCCCTGGAGCAGATGGGCACAGGGCAGTCCCACGGGGCTCCAGAGCCACTTCCCTGGCTGTGCTTCCCGGTGGCTCCCAGGGAGCTGCCCCTTCAGGCCAATGGCCCTCAGTGCTGTGCCAGATCCCATAGCCAAAGTAAATAAGGAAACCTGGGAACAGACAGAATAAGGTGTGTATGGAGTGTTTCTCTTCCATCCGCTCCCAACCACAACGTGCTCACCCCTTCCCGTCCCTTTGGGCCGTGTACCAGAGGACACGGTGCTCCCACCACCCCTGGACATTGAAGTTCAGCATCTCCTCCCTCGCCCACCACTGCTCTGAGCAGCATCAGTGCCACAGGCTCTCAGACCACCAGAGCTTCACCCAGAGAGGCTGCTGCCAGCCCCAGGAGCTCAGGGGTGGCCGTGCTTACCGACAGCCATCCAGAGCAGGTACCGCAGCCAGGCGGCCGCGCTGAGCCGGGCCATCAGGATGCTGTTGATGGAGATGCTGAGGATTGGCAGGAAGGGCAGGCAGGGAACCTGCAGGAACAAAGCACAAGGGAATAGGGTCTTCCCTTCTCCCAGACGCACGAGCTGGCCTGCAGACAGGGGTTTCACAGCTAAATTCAGCTCTTTGCTGCTTTGGCTAGTTGCTGACAGGTGAGGAGAAGCCCAGCCTGGCTGTGAGGCTCAGAGAGCCAAGCTGGGGGGACTGCAGCCTGTGGAGGGTGGTTTGGTTTACGTGTCCTGCACTGGGGCAGGAGCTACTGCAGGATTTGAGGGGGGAGGCAGAAAACCAGTAGCAACACCAATCCAGGGTGTCAAGGCCAAGTATCTTTTTACTGAAGAGCATCTCTGATTCCTGCAGCAGGCACTGGACTCATTAGGGACTGCAGAAGGTGTCCCTTCAGCCTGCAGGACATGAGGGGAAGAACCAGGCAGCCTTCATGGTCCCTATGGAAAACCCTATGAGTTGCATGCTGCCTCCAGCAGTGCTTTATTAAGGTGGATACGGCAGAGATCTGCCTGACCTAAAGCAGAGGGAACACCCCCCAATGCCACATCACTCTTTCTCCATGGGGACGTCCCTAGGGCTGGGCTGAGTGCTCACCATGAAGGATGCTCTGTCTCGGCTCTGAGGCTGCCTCCAGATGAGCAGAGCTGTTGCCAGGATTCCCAAGAGAGGCAGAGCCAGAGCTGCAATGCACCAGGCACCCCCAGCCCGCAGGCAGGGCAGCCCAGCAGTGCTCACCCAGCTCAGGGCACAGACCAGGGCAGCTGTGGAGGGACCACGGCAGTGTGTCAGGGCAGCACTTCCCCAGGCAAGGCCCATCCCTCTCCTGTGATGCAGCACCCAGGCTGCCATGGTGGGACAAAGGACAACGGGGAGACAGGGCTGGGTGTCTTGTCATGATGGGTTTAACTTTTCTCTCCAGTCTGGGAAGCAGAAGAAGCTTGAGGTTTCCCAAGATCCCATTGGGGCAGCCAGCTGTGTGGCAATGGGGAGAGGGCAGGAAGGAGCCAGGCAGATCCTGCATCCTGCTGGGTGGTTTTCACTGAGCAGGAACCTGCCTGAGATGTCCCCCGTGGGCCCCCCACGCTGGCTCCCTGTAAAGCCCATCCATCACTCCTGGGCGCACCTACGGCTGTCAGAGCCCAGGCCACTGCAGAGGAGGAACGTGGGGTGGGATGCAGGGGTGGCCGGACAAGGTGGTCCCACCAGAGCTGCACAGCTGGGACCTTCCTCACAGGATTGTCCCAAGTGCTGGGTCCAGGCCGATATCTGAGGGGCAGATATCGGATGTCAAGGCACATGAGTTTGCACCTGCAGTGCACTCAGGCCAGAGCCTTGTCCCAGACATGGGCACATCAGAAGCTGGGTGAGCCCTGTCCCTTGTCCCCAGCAGTCTCACCTGAGCAGCAGCACACAGCCAGCCACCATGGAGTAGGCCAGCAGTGTGCCGATGGACATCGTGTCCACCAGGGCTTTCAGGTCGAAGAGAAGGGCCAGGAGAGCTGCGGGGACAAGAGGCCCTCTCAGCCTCCCAGCAGAGCTCAAACAGCTACTGGTAAGCTAGAGAGAGAGAGAGGACACCCACCAAGCCCTGCTCAAGGTTAAGAGTAACCCAACCACTCACCCACCTGCCAATCCTCCAGACACCAGCGTTGCCACCACCGGGCACTGACGGCGACTAACTTTGGCCAGGGGTTTGAAGAGGAGCCCGTCTCGAGCCATTGCATACAGGATCCGTGGCATGGGGAACATGGAGCCCAGGAGGCTGCAGGAAGGGGAGGAGATGGGGGAAAAAACGGCAGGAATCCAGGAGGTGCCATCCTGCCTTTTGCTCCTCCACAGGGGCTCCCATTACTCTGTATAGTCTATGACCTTCTCAAGACCACTCTGACAAGACCATCACCTTCCTCACCACCAGATGATGGGCAGTATTTGGGGAAGAGATGTCCGCAGTCTCGAGGAGCCCTGTGCATGCCAGAACACCCCAGCCCACTCCTGTGGTCACAGTGCCATCTGACTACTTCCTCCAGCTTTGGGCTCAAAGCAGAATGCCGGGGGTTTGGCTGCTCTCCTTGATCAAGAGGGTACAGAGTTTGTGGGGAAGGGCTGAGGGATTTTGGCCAAGCAGGGAAATCAGAAGGAAGGGATTGGGAATAGCTCCTGGATGTGTTAAAATTCCAGTGCAACCTTGTTCTTAATCACAGAACTGCCATCAGAGGGTGCCTCTCACCTGGTTGTCAGGGC